TGGGCTTGGGCGGCCGTGCTGAAAGCCCCACTCGGCGTGGGCTTGGGCGGCCGTGCTGAAAGCCCCACCGTATCCTCAGGCCGCTCCGAGCCCGGGCTCTGCACTTCGGGCTTTGGTGTGTCAAGAACTTGCCTTTTCCAGCTCTCCCGTACAAGGTGGAGGTTCTGAGCGTTGTTACCTCATTCTGTGGGATGACAACTTGTTACCGACGAGAGTGCACAATCAAGTGCTTAATTCTTTTCAGGATTAGCATTCAGGTCCTCAGAGGCAATACTGTTTTAGCAATTTCTACCGTCTGAACTTCAGTAATACAGCAATATCTTGGCATTGAGGGAACGTGCTGATAGACCTTGCAGAGATTTCTGAAGTGTGAACCAAGAACAATGGGCAAGACAAAATATGACAGTTAAAGAACATGTGCAAAGAGATTCAAAAGGAGAGGGGGCCTACAAGAAAGCTGGGGAAGGACTTTTCATAAGGGCAACTAATGACAAAACAAGGGGAAATGGGTTTAAGCTGAAAGAGGGCAGGTTTAGATTAGATATTAGGAAGAAGTTCTTCACTGTGAGGGTGGTGAGACACTGGAACAGGTTGCCCAAGGAAGTTGTGGATGTCCCCTCCCTGGAAGTGTTGAAGGCCAGGTTGGATGAGGCTTTGAGCAACCTGGTCTAGTGGAAGGTGTCCCTGCTGATGGCAGGGGGGTTGGAACTAGATGATCTTTAAGGTCCCTTCCAATCCAAACCATTCTATGATTCTATGAAAAACATGGGAAATAATATCCTGTTCTGGAATTACTTTCTATATTAAGACAGGGACAGCTGGCTCAAGATCTTTTCAGGATCATTTTGTGCTGTTATTAACACTCCCATGGGTACAACATTTGCACAGATGCCCAGATGACAATGGAAGAGAAGCAAATGATTTTACGGATGGTCAGTTGGGTTCATGGGCCTGGTATTTTTCATGTGTGCAATACTTACCTTACTACTGTCACAAGGGAAAAGTGTACTTGCTGAACCAACAATAAAATAAGTATGTGAAACACTGGACAGGCATCCAGAAGGTAAAAGAGTGAGCCTAACTTCTTCTCTTCCCACCACAAAATCATGTTTCTTTTAGCTTAATGCAGCAAAACAGCCATCTTGTGTAGCTGTGAAATTGCATTCAACCTCCTCTTGAATATAGCCTTCCTCAAGAAATGAGAGAACATGCAAGACATTGTGAAATGTGAATATTAAACTAAAGACCTTCCTAATCTACAATGTCAATGTTTCATAATGTCGTGGTGGTTTTCTGCTTGCCTTTCCTTTCTTCTAAGAGACAAAGTTTGGCATTAGTATTTTAGCTGAAAATATAAGAAGTCCTTTTTTTTTTCATCCCACTAGAACAAAGGCGACAAAAAGTTGAAGAATATCTATCAAGAAAAAAGACCTTTTCTGGTGTGTCCATTCAAGAAAACCAGACATCGATCAGGTAGTATTTCTGCTATGGTTTATATTCCTTTAGGAAGGTCCATGGTTGGTGGGAAAGATGTTAAGTGGCACTTCTTGCAGAGAACCTCAACCAAAAGGTGAGACCATGCAACAAGACTGGCAAACCCATGGATTTCCTGAAGTCCTTTTATTGTCACCAAATAGGAAAAGTTATTGTTAACCAAATGTGTAACAGATGCAATTAATGAAGTATATTATCTGCTCCTCTAGAGACCAAGACAGGACAGGATACCTTCATGGCAGAGCTCTTACTTCAGATGCCACTTTACTGTTTCCCTCTACAGTCTTCCTTCTGCAAATAACTTTCCTCCCCTTCCTACTCAGGCTATGCTGTGTGTTCACAATCCACTTGTTCTAGCTTCATTGTGTTTTTAAAGTTACTAATTCACTATTTTCTGCTAAAAGCAAATATACTGTAATAAAACCCAGCCTGAGTGATGTCCAGCAGGTAGGCATAATGTTCTGTAAACAGAATGACCTGTTACCAATTAGTAGTGCTTCTTTTTATTGACTTATATTTAAATCTTCTCCCTGCTGTTGTCTGAAGTATGGACATTTAGTGTAAGACCTTCTAATAAGCAACAGAAGTTATTCTAGAGAAGACAGTGGTGTGAAGGAGCACAAAGGGTTCCAGCTCTAACATTAGTTCATGGTGTAGCAATGTTTTTGCAGACTGTAAATCTTAGTCTGAAATTTGTTCCCATCTAAATGGGAAGTCTTGCTTGCCATTTTGTATACTTGGGGTGGCACTGTCCCATGTTCAGCAGCACAAAATTACTTGATAGTAAAAATCTAATTGAACAATGACCTTTGAATATAAAATACACATAAATGACAAGGATAAATATAATCTGTCAAAGATTTCCTCTGTGTAGCGGGAAAAGGCCAGTGCTTTCATGTTGTAGAAAGCTATTGTATGTTAGAAAATCAGTGCCAAATATTTCTATTGTAGCAATAGTCATAATTTGGCATTTGATCTACTTCTTCTTGCTTTCAGTTTCCTCTGTGGCTAATTTCCAGGGCTTTTCATAGTCTTCAGTTAACTAATTGTTTACAGCCATCGTGTATGTGGGTATGACTAATGCTTTTATGTTGCAGGTATTTGCTTTTTGTGACAATATCACTGTTCCACACTGTTTACTACCTGAAAGGAGGTTGTAGTGAGCTTGGTCTTGGTTGCTTCTCAAAAGTAGCAAGTAATAGGATGAGAGGAAACAGCCTCGAGTTGTGCCAGGGAGGTTTAGATTGGATATTGGGGAAAAAAAAATTCACTGAAGGGGTTGTCAAGCACTGGAACAGGCTGCCCAGGGAAGTGGTTGAGTTACCATCCATGGAGGTATTTAAAAGTTGTGTGGATTTGGTGCTTAGGGACATGGTTAGTGGTGGACTTGGCAGTGTTGGGTTAATGGTTGGACTCAGTGATCCTAAAGGCCTCTTCCAACTTAAATGTTTCTATGAATTCTGATCAGTTCCCTTAACATGTATTCTCTATCATGGTTGACATGGAGGTGGTAGAATGATGCAGACTGCTTTCTCCAGCATTTCAAAGTTACTAATTATTTTTAGCTTTATTTTCACTAATATACCTTCATCCTCAACTCAGCTAGCTTCCAGAAAATCATCTCATACAAAAATATCAGTTACTAACTGGGATGTTAATTTTCAGTCACAATAGTGCATTCTCTTTTCTTGTCCTCTGTTAGCCAGCTCTTAATGGTGCAAGAAGAGATGTTTTGTAGCCTGTGCTCTGATCAGTAGTTGCTTAGCCATTTATTTTTTCTGGAGGAAGAGTACAAGCTGAACAGAAATGCTTCGACTTGAATTCAGCCAGCAGACTGCCACCTGAACCATGTAAACTTTCTCTAAAAATACATTCCTTTGTTATGTTGGATGATGATTTAAGATGTCTTCTTTTTTTTTTTATGCAGCAGCAGAACTAGGAGAGCAACTAGCAATAAACAGCAAGACAAAACACAGCTCTCCACATCTCCGAAGCCAGGAATGGTAAGTTTGACTGATATTCAAATACTGATGGCACTCTGTTTCTGTGGCTACAACATTCCACTCACTCAAACTGTATTTAAATAGTTTGCAGGTGCAGTGGTGCAGTTTGTTAAAACTTTATTTAGTGACTGCTTTGATACGTGCCTTTTTGAGAGCTGTCGCATTACTGTACGTAATGGACTAATTGATATTTAGTTTGTACCTGACTGGAGGAGGGGGCTAAAGAGGATACCATTATTGCTGAAATAAACATTAAGTTTTAGCAACTTTTCTTGAGATTCTCAGAAATTTTTTGATATATTTTCAGTCTTCAAGGAAGTTATTTAAAATCTGAGCAAGGTCTTCTCAGGGTAGAGAATTCTTCTATTGTACTGTTACCTGGGAGAGGAGGATAAAAAAAATAAACCCCCCAAAAAAACAACTAACAAAACTAACTGTTGAATGTGTAGTGATGCTGGCAAATCTAATGTCATCAGAAGTAGATGCTAATATCTAATCAGAGTTCCAGGGAATGTTTTGTCACTTTTCCAGAATTAAGATGCACATGGTTATGCTGCTTAGAAATAGGAAAACACAGATTCTTCTCTAGACCTGTTCTTAGGGAAAGGTGAGGGGAAAAAAAGCCACAAAACCTGTGCTCATGTCAGATGGTTTTGAGTTTGGGTTCTGAAAGATTTGAGAGACCTGGAGTTATTTGAGGAGGAAAGCAAAAACCTTAACTTCAAAACTGAGTGTTGAGGGGGGGGAAAAATCCAAAAGTGAGAACAAGTTGTTCTCAGAAATTTCCTGAAGGGAGATGTTTTGGTCTGTGTTAATGTCTCATGTGGTTTTAAAGTTGAGTTAAACTACACAGCTTCCTGAAATAGCAGCCCTTGTACTTGAGCTCTAGTTATTGGCTTGCTGAAATCTAACTTGTAAGCCTGAATGACAGACCAGGAGAGGAGATGCTGTGTTGTTTTCTTACAGTTCAAGGGCATCTTCCTTAAAGGAGAATCATATCAGCTTCTGCAGGCTTCCATGTGTCATTCACCTTCCCTGGTGGTATTTAAGAAATGAGTAGATGAGGTGCTTGGGGACATGGTTTAGAGGTGGATTTGTTAGTGTTAGGTTTATGGTTGGACTTGATGATCTTAAAGGTTTTTTCCAACCACTACAGATCTGTGATTCACATCCATTTCCCACCCTGGTTTTGGATCTTTCAGGCTTCTATAAGCTGCTGCCTGGACAATGCTGAATTAGTCGCTGTAGAGCATGTCCTTTGGAGGAAAAGACTAGGTCCTGCTTCTCATGGCCTCTGGTCTAGGATTATGCGGGGAACATAGGGTTGAGAGTTCCAGGGAGTAGTAAGGCCATATAAAACTCAGGTGTCTAACTACAGCATCCTACAGCTCATTAGTAAGAGAAACTCTCCCTCATCTGGTAACATATCCTAATGCCTAATTAAAGGCTTTACTCACTACCCTGTGTTAGTAGGCTATCCACACTAAGTGGAGGAATGGTGCTGCCATTAAGGGATGTGGTATGCAAACTGAGATACTGCTTTTGACTATATACAACCTAAAGCAAGTTTCTGCTCTGACTCCTCTTAGAAGGTGACTTTGGCAATTAAAAGCAAGCAATTGCTTTAAGACAGTTTTGTTTCTGTAAGAAGAACATAGTCCTCAGGTTAGGCCTTCTCACTTCCAAGGCAAGATTTAAATAATCTTTATTTGATTTTTTTGATGTAAATTCTGCAATAGTAATTGACAAATATTCTACTCAGTCTGTATGTACTACTTTTGTAGATACTTTTGAAATGGCATTTATTGTTAACCATTTTAGTCCTGTAAATGAGTGAAAGCCTCTTTGGAAATAAGTGACATGCAGCATAAATGTACTTCTAACATCTCCATGGATATGCTTTGATTTCAGGAAAATAAAGAGAATGCTAATAAACTGTCATGGGAACAATCAAGCAGAACTTCAGAAAAAAATGATATTTTAAACTCTTCCACAATCACACTGCCAAATTCCATATCAGGAATCACAAACTATCATCCTAAAGATTATGAAGTCACGGAAGTAAAATCTAAGCATATGTCACTTAGCAAGTCCTTCTTGCAAATGAAAAGCTTAAAAGAGAAGCAATTGATTGCAGAAAAACAAAATTCAAGTGTCAGCCTACCAAAGAAACCAGTGCTTGGTACATATCGTGGCAAAGTTATCCAATCCAAGATAAACTCCTTCCGAAAAGCACCAAAAAGTGAGCTGGAAAAGAGTTCTTTGCCAGACAAGAAGTTTCTTCCTTCTGGCACCAAACCTGCAGCAAGCTCTTTGTCCATGAGCAGCTGTAGTGTATTTGCAAAGACTACCAAAGTCACAAACAACTCTAATTCTGTAAAACCAGATGGTGTTCTCCCATTCCAGAGCAAACCATCTGACAAAGCTGCTATTAACTCACAGTCCAGTCTGAAGAAATGGCAACCCATGTCTGCTGTAGTGCCAAAGAAAGTAACAGTCCAAAAAATGATTGATGGAAGGGCACCAGAGCCACTAAAGGCTGTTTCTAACAGTTCTGACCGCAGAGTGCTAGGAGTGAAGACATGTGAAGATGCAAGACCAGAAGCTCCAGCAAAACCAGTTTCTGTTGTTTCTGGTGCAAAGGATTCTAAAACCACTGGCAAGAGAAAATCTGTTCTGCCAAAAGAGTCAGCAGAAGAGAGAAGGTAACAGAGCTACTGTTGTAGGTTGATCTTGGGAGGTATTTTAGACCTTCTTTCCAAGAACATCTATTTTGATTTATGTCTATTAGGTGCACTGTAAAATAAGAGATCTGAGTGTTTGAATTTGATTCCCAAGGGCAGCAGACTAAAACTGTAGACTTAATACTGAGGAATCAGGATTCAGACTAATTCCAGCAGCTCTTCAGGCTTACAGTTATGAATAGAAAATGTATATTGCTCAAGCTCTGGTTTTTGGGCTGAGTGTTGTGACAGCCTTAAGCATGACAGATAATCCTGTAAGGGAATTGCACATGCACGCCATTGCTTTAAAAAAAAGATGACTGATGCAGGATGTACGCAGAAGTGAGCATATTTATGGACTGAGGGAGAGCACTTGTCATATATTTTTCAGCTTGGTGAATGCACCTTAGATGATGGGGTGAAGATATATAATCTAAAAGTTATTTAGTGTTCTTGGTAGAGCTCCTTGTAGAAAGTCACATTTACAAAAATTGGTTATCTAGGGGGATGGTGTCGAAATTAAATGAAGACTGAATTACACTTATACAGCAGCTTCAGAATTTAAAAGCTGTGTGATAGCGTTGTTCTGGGCTGCTCTCCACGCTTCGTGTCTTTAGAGATGCTTTTCCTGATCTAGTTCTCTGGTCTGAAGTGGGATTAGGGAAGAGAGGTGGCACAGGCTAATGAATTGATGCATTTTTCACCCTTTCTTGAAAAAAAGGGTCTGCAGCCTAAGTCTCTTGTTGCTGCTGGAAAGAGATTAAAGTGTTCTGACCTGACAGATACCTAAAGCAGATAGTGATATGCATTGTTCTGAAATTTTTGTACAGGTCTAAATGGCAGCTCTATTCCTTTAGGATTAAAGGGAGACAACTTGAGGACTATCTGGAAAAGTATATCTTCGTATGACTTACCCTAGTTAGTGTCAGTCAATGTAAAAAAATGATAAAACATTTGTCACTTCTGCTAATGATATTCATAAATGCAGAGCTCGCCTGGATGAATGGAGAGCATCTAGAGGAAAAGTGATGAGGAGACCTCCTATATCTATGCTTCTGGGATCACAGTCTAAAAGTGAACAACAAGAATTCTCTTCTGGTGATTCTTTAGAGCATGTATTACATAGTGAGAAGGTCAACAAGACTCTTGAAGAATGTCTGCAGTTAACCAAACAGGTATTCAGTCCCTTGCCTACCAAGTTCTAATCATACATATCCCTACAAGTCCTATGGGTGTGCTGGACCTGGGAGTCAGATGTGGGAGACTAATTGCTTCCCAGATTAAACAATATCATAGTTTTTTGCAGACACCTGAAGAAATTAGTTCTCATTTAAGCTTCACTAACTTACTGAACTACCCAATAAGATTAGACAATAATGTTAACATAATAAAGTAGGAAAGCTATAATATAATGAGAGTAGCTATGAAATAATTAATCTAAAACAAGACTGCATTTGCAGAAACTTGCTTGGACTTCTGGAAACGTCTGTTTTAAGTAGTTCTGAAGATGTTTGTGCATTCTACTATCCCTTCTACTTACAATACTGTGTAAATAATTCTTGTTTGGAAGAATAGGTGAATGACAGTTCTACTCAGGTTCAGAGTTCAGTTTTGGAAATGCTTGCCGTCTTCAACTTTCAAGGTTCCTCTCCAAAGAAAATAAAAATACTTGCTTTCTAATTCAAAACCAGCTTAAATAGGGCACCTCAAATTGTTCACTGCATTTAAATCTCTGCTCTTGTGTTGACTTTAGGGATGTCAAGGTGATAAAGTACGTGCCATGTTGGAAGATCTGACACAGGGCGTTCCTGGAGCTAAAAAGCTTGCAAAATATTGGATCTGCTGTATGTGTCTTGAACAGACGGGTCCTCTTGAAAAGCTTATTGCTGTCTATGAGGAGGCCATTTTGGCAGGAGCACTGGTGAGCAGATTATCTTGAAGTTTGAGGTTAACAAATATAAACACACTGAGGTATGGTATATAATATGCAACCTCTTATGATTTTAATAAATCTTTTTATAGTGGGAGAGCCATGTGACCTACTTTAACATAAAAAGTTGGATTTGTTTTGCTCTGTAGCTGCTATAGATACTACTTTCAAGAAGAAATGTTTAGGATCATCAAAACACCCTATTATGTTCCACTTGGAAGAAATTAAGGTCTGGGACTTCTAGAATCACTAGAAACCCAAAACAGAACTTAATTTTACATTTCTTGGTGGTCTTAATTCCTATGCTTTAATATCAGTAAGATTTCAGGGTATCAAATATGGCTTTAGTACACCAAATACAGAAAATACAAATTCACTTGTATTCTGACTTGCGTCTAAACAGCAATAAATAAAGGGTTTGTAATGTGAATATCACGTGGTCTGTACCACTTTCCCTGTAACTGTTATACCAAATAAGCTTAAATTGTTACTAATTTTGGAATTGTTTTTCTAAAACAATAAAACTTTTTTCCAGCCTAGAGATGAACTGCGACACACACTAATAGAGACTATAAAAAATACTGAAAGCCTTCTTAAGCCTGAGGATGGTAAGTCTGAGTACTCTATTCTAGTTAAATGTCTGGCTTGACAGGCATCACAAGCTGTTTAAACTAATTGTGCCTATATTAAATTCTATTTCATGCAAACCTCTCTGTGATCATTTGGTACTCAATTGTCTTTGAGAACAACCTTGACTAAACTAATGCCTTTTCAATCATGGGCATAATGAGTAGCTGAGATGCTTTCATCTTCAAACTTTCTACTTAAATGCTATCAAAGCAATGTTGTCCAGCTATTTTAGCCTGATAATGAGTAAATAGAAACATTATTGTGAGCTAAAAATGAGTTGCCTCTTTGGCACATAAACTCCTCCACTAGCAGATGCATGGCTGTGTTATGGCATAGTGTCAATTAAAAGCAGTAAATATTCCAGTTTTGGAATCCAAGTAGCCATATACATTCCTGTTCAATGTAGTGTAACCTGACAAATATTTGATCCCAGAAACTGATTGAAATACTTGCTCAGAGCTGCTGCACTTCGGAAGGAAGAGAATGACTTCTCAGGATGTACTTAGCCTGAGCTTTCAGGTTGCAGGTTTTTGAAGGTGACTACAATTATAAGTAACTTAAATTGCTGTGGCTCAGACTCAACACATACTTAACTTCTGTTGTCATGTAAAGCTTTAAGATTTCAGACATCTCTCTAAAATATTAACTTCTCTTTAGTTGTAACTAATCACAGCTGTACTTTCTTCAATATTTCAGTTTTAGGGGAAACTGTGGTGGAAGCTTATTTAAGTGTGGAAGTGGGAGTCAGCAAGGAACCAAATTCATCTGCAGAGCAAGTTCAGGAGGCCTCCCAGGATCTATGTTCTGATGATGACCAAAAAGCAGAGAGTGATGACAAGAAAGCAGAGACTAGCAGTGAAGTGATCAAAAAAGAAGAAATTGATTTAGACTTGAAACCAAGAGAAGAGATCTTGCTAAAAAAGAAAAAAAAGCAAAAGACCAAAGAACGTGCAAAGAAGAAAGGAAAATGTGAAACAGAAGAGCAGGATGAGGATGGGGTAAAAGATATAGGCCGAGCAGTCAGTTCTCCTGAGAAGGAGAATGACACGTCTTATTTAATGAGATACGATCCATCTAGCACACCATACTTGGAAAGGTAAGATTACTTCAGCTAAGAACAGAAAGTTTGCAGCATCTGGGGTAACAATAATGTTTGTGTCCTGTTGAAACAGGGAGACGCTGCACTTGTGAATACCTAGTTAAATGCTCTCAGGAACTTATTTTTTTAGGATTGCTTCTTCTTCCTTCAGAAGGAGGTCTTTTAAAATAAATTTCTCTATTTACTCAAACTGCTTTGCTTTTTGAATGCCTCACTACAGAGTAATCAGACCTCTTTGTGGCAGAGACTTAAATTCCAGGTTTAGGATCTCTTCCCAGAGCCCCCATGGCAGCAGCATTTCTACACTGAGCTAGGTCAAGAAAAGTAGGTGGCATCAGTAGATGTAGTTGTATGTCATACAACATAGAAGTGAGCAAGATTTAACTCTGCTGTAAAGATTCTTAATTGTATCTTGAGGAAAAAATCTGTGTAGGACAAAAACAGGTAACACTTAAATTATTTTTTGCTACAAGGTTTCTTCTAAGCAGACTTAGGAAAGTTGAGCTCGGTTTTGGCATCTGATGAAGATGGACTTCTGTCAGCTGTCTGCTATCCTTCATAGCAAGAGGAACAGTTTCTCTGCGATGGAATGGGGGGAATCTTACTTTGGAAACTTTTCAGGAGGTTCTTCAGATGAAAATATTTTGCCCAAGAAAAAAGTTGTATTTCTGGTTTTATCTGTATGAATGGGAAAGGGCCTGATTCCCATTCTCTTTTGCTGTGGCAATGGGGAAGAGTTGAATAGGAATTGTGACTTGTTTCTGCTAGATGCTACAGAGGCAATTTGTATGATGGTGTGCCTATGTTTAGTGATATTTTTTTCTTTTCCTAAGTGTGAAGATGCACCATGAGGCAAACGAATCCCATGCTAAAGACCTGAAAATCGTAACCCCTTTGCGATATTCTCAACGCATTCGGGAGAAGATGTGCAAGTTGTCGGATATTGTTAAAGATCAAGACCCATGTGCCTCTTCATTTGAACAACTGGGAGAATTGGAATCAAAAGCCACTTCATTTATCCACAAACAGAGCAATATGCTCAAAGAAACAAGTGCTGAAGTAGAAGAGTAAAAAGTAACATTAATGCTACACAGGGGTTAAAGATTGGATCTTTTTTTAAGGAGAGTTGGGGGGGTGTTTGTTTTTTAGCAGCTTTGAGAGAGGAGCTATCCAAAAGTTGTTTGGATGGCTTAAGATGAAATTTGACTACCTGAGTCACTAAACTTTTGAATTTATAATTTTCCGCCTTTTCAAAATTGCAGTAAATCTGGTCTGTTTTAGTACTTATAAACATCAGTGTCTTCATGTTAAATATGATTCATTAAATAGTGAATTAAGGACTAGGTTTAGCACTTCATATAACAGTTTGATTGTAGTATATTGCTAGTATCTACTGTTTTCCTTTTGCATTTCCTATAAATTCTTTAGAATTACATAATCTAGCTTTAGTTTAAGAAATGAAAATGTAGGCATTCCAGAAGGGCAATGTCTTCTACAGCAACATTTAGTTTTGAAAACTGAAGCCAGCTAGTAAAGTGTACACTAAGTTTAAACTGTTGTAACCATTTTTAGGGGGTATTTCAACAAATCAGTTTAATTCCCTTAGTTACTGAGATTATTCATGATCAAGTAATCTCCCTTATATGAGGTCTGATACACTAATTACTATGTGACTGTTCTAATGTTGGTTTGCATTAGTCTGTAATATGATAGATTTATTAAACTAATCAACTGAGTTGTATTTGTTCTTTATTTATGGACTTTAGGCTGGAAACTAATTGTAGAATATGGCTGAGACTGGAGTTCTGAAAATTATTTTAGTCTGTGTTTGGAAGTGAACTGTCAGCAGAACACAATGAAATTTTTCACATTCAGCAGAAGCTGAGTGTTTCCATATCTTCAGTATGCAGAATTTACATGAACAGTAACTTAAGCCTTAGCTGAGCATTCAGATTTCAGCGTTTACAGACCTTGGTCCTTACAGTTAGCTTGAATTTTCTATTTGCAGAAGGGACATGCTTGTTTGCATCTAAGAAGATGCATCTAATGAAACCAAACTTTAAGTGTACTATGGCACTACAGGGTTTGGCTTTTTGGGTTTTTTTTTGGTTTTGTTTTATTGGTTTTTTTCAGACAACCCTCCTGATCACTGACAAGCAAGTCCAAGTGTCCATTTGTAATACTACAAGGGGTAACACAAGATCAAACATGTCCCAGTCAGGACATGGTTTGGGCATGCACTTCTGCCCCTGTTGTGGAGATTTTAACTCTGCTGCATCTCATGGTTGATGTGCTGACCCGGGCATCTGTGTTGTGCCAGGTCTGCTCTGTCATGGGCACTGACTGGGGCTGAATGGAGTTAGGATCAGGCTGATACATTTTTTTTTCTTAACCTGGAAGTCTGAAGAGGAAATGTTTTTTTCCAGCATGAAAAAGGAAATGGTGGAAATTGTTATAGGTTAGTTTCCCAAATTGCCCAATTACGGGAGTCGGAGCCAATTAAATTTTAATTATTTATTTATTTAGCAAGCGGCAACAAGCAAAACAGCGCTGGGCAGCCGGGGAGTCCAACTCCCACCAACGGCGCGCACCTCAGGCAATGAGCTCTCTATATTTAAAGTGTGTTTCTATACATATTCATTGGTTTATGCAAAACGCCTATACATATGCATGGCCTTTCCCCGCTTCGTATTAAAATTAGGTCTCCTCCCCTTCGCATCTGCGCAGAGCTTTGTGGTGGTGGTCGTTGGGGGTCTCAGAGAGGAATCTTCATCACCTCCTGTAGTAACCCCACTGTCTTCATCGTCACCTGTAGTTAACCTCTTAAGTCTGCGCATGCGCCTTTCTTTTTGGATTCAAGCCTTACGCCATCTGGGTTTCTTCCTAATTATTTTTGTTCATTAACTTCAAGCTTGGTTGGAATCCTGTGATAAATCATCCACAAGGCCAGTCCTTGGCAAGCTGAGATAAGTAAACTAAGAAGCTAGAAATACTGATGCCTAAGACTTGAAGAGGTTAAAATACCAAATGCCCACTATTATCCCCCCCCTTTCTCTTTAGGCTAGTAAATTCTCTTTACCTTCTAATTCCCTAAAATACTTATTGGATATTAATTCTTATTTAAGACTATTTTCTTCTGATCACTATATGAGTTACCTGTGTTAAAACAGCAGTAAAAGGCACATTTCATCATTACACAAAGTACACAAAATAGAAAGATAACTCCAAGAATCGTTAGGAGCAGTTGCTTGAGCCAGATTAAATTCGCTAACAAGAAGTGAGTATTTGTTTCCTTCTCAAGAGGTTCAGTAAACAAATACCGTCTATTACACTCCCCACAGTTGTTAACTAAGTTTGATGAACAAACAGTTTACTACCTATTACAGAAATCATTCTGCCAACACAACTGCCTGTCTTCTGTGCTTTGCCAGTAGCTTTAGCTGGTTTTGTCTGTCTTGAGACATCTCCTTTTATTAGAGAATATCCTGTAATTAGTTTTCCTTACACTGTTACATAGATAAAAACAAAGGTTAAAGTACCATCTATGTGGCCTAAGTCTTCATTTACTTCAGCCACTATAGTATTAAGCTCTAGCACAGATTAGTCTCTCACTGCAGTAGAGAAATTGATTGTACAACAGCTTTGTAGCCTGGTTTTTGTGCAACATGGAGTCTAAAGTGACTCTTGAGGCATTAACATGCCTCCTACTGAGGTGCTGGCCATGGAGGGTGTTGTTTATTGTTAATAAATATCGGGTATAAGCTCCATTTGCGTGTTCTGAGGAACAGATGCGGGAAAACCTCCAGGGACCACCGGGACTCCATGGCCGCACCCGGCGCTGGCTCAGAGGTCGGGCGGGACCGGGGGCGCGGGCGGGGCGAACGCCGGGCGTTCGGACCGCG